TATATGAAAAATGTACACTCCGTCATTACAGACAGCTATACTGTCTTTCCCGTTTAAAACCTACGTAGGACGACTGCAACTGATAACAGATTACTCACGTTTCGTATGATGAGGAAAAGTCACTGCACCAATGAACCTTTTCAGAACAGAACTTCATTGATCCCATTTTGTCTACTATTTTACTGTTTCTTGCTACAAGTAGGCACTTTTCGGAGAAGAAATAGTCACAAATACCTTAAACATGAAAAAAAAAGCATTTTAGTTATCCAAAACGAAAGTAGGTGACATCCAAAGTATCAAAGTGGGACACCCGTCAAAAGAATGTTTCTTACCTTTTGCAAATACGTCAAATTTATATATCTATTTTTATGTTTGCCCTTGACTTTTAGCGTTTTTGGAATACTTCTGTTGTAATCGACTAAACGATATATATACAAGGGAAACTACTCTCGACAATTAAACAACTACCCTGCTAAAGTTTCCGTTCTTTATGCGCATTCATTCTCTCTCTCCCTCCCTCTCTCTCTCTCTCTCTCTCTCTCTCTCTCTCTCTCTCTCTCTCTCTCTCTCTCTCTCTAGGATGTACATTCTTGACGAGGAAGATTTCAGATATGCATGTTTATTAAATTCAAAAGTAAACTTGTCGCAGGTGCCAGATCATGCAGTTTAACTTTAAAAACATCAATAGAATTATTGTTTTGAATATAAACTTTTATTGATTTAAAACGAATTAAGCTGAATTTGTATATACGTTATGCATTGAATCTACAAAAACGCGACCTGTCATGTCATACTGAGCAAGAGCTTCTTTTCTATCTGTCAACAATGGCTTCTTATAAGAATGCTTTTTTTCAACGGTGATCTTTTCACTAACTTTCAACGGGGTGATGAAGCTCGTAATGAACCAACCATGAGGAAATGAGTGGACCTTGACTTAAAAACTTAAAGATTTGGACTGCTGCAGATAGTATTAGACTGCTGTCACTGGCTCCCTAGCACACCTGCTTAGAAAATAAATGCCGACACAGTCCCTTCGAGTCCATACAAATTACGCCGCACATGTTCTCTTATGGGACCAGTCGCTGATATCTTGACAATTTCACTTACCATACTACCTATTGTGAACGCGTCAGTCGAAATAGAATGCGAACATCCCTGTCAGGATTGCCTTTACCTCTTTTTAGACCACAGGTGCTAGATGCGAGCTTATATTTCAGTTCAAAAAATTCAAAGACCGGAAAGGGGAAAAAATCATACGGAGTGACAAAATTACCCCCGATTACCTGGTCTGACAGGAACCTGTCTATCAAGATATAATGATATAAAGTAACTTCCAAAAACTTCGTACTACGCTTTTCCCCTGACATCCTTCTGCTTTTCTCCGTCTTTGAAGGCACACGACCATAATGTATGGCTTATTTATTTATTTTTCAATTCACCAAGCTATCTTTAATTTTTCTGCATTGTACCAAACTGAAGTTAAAGGCTTCGAAACATACCAACTGTGCGAATTTTGCCTTCCGGAACAAAATTATGATTCTACGCGACAAGCTCTATATACTGTGACATACTCTATATACGGTGATTGCGATTCTACGATACATCCCTTTATTAATCATAGTCAAAAGTGAGTTCCTAATTTCCATTAACTCAGTTCAACTTTAAGAATTATACATTTGTCATCATAAGTCAACACATATCGATTTGCATAGCTTGCGTTATTTTAAAGGAATGGTCAAATTTGGGTCATACCCGGTTAGATACAATGCAGCAAAAATTCATTATTTGGCACAAAATCTATTTACACTGACACAAATCATGTCTCGGCGATAACCGTGAATGGGAGTTGTAGATAAAGCTAAAAGTTTCATAATGGGATAAAATTTCACACATTACTCTTTCACTGAATTTATAAAGAATATCTTTAGCCTGATTTCAACACATTAGAAACTTGAAAATCATAGCTTGCAAAAATTATCAATAACACACACACAGACACACACACAGTTTCTGCGTTACAATAAATCCTAGCTAATAAAACGGATATAGAAAATCTTCCCCGGACATTTCCTCCCTGGACTCCCTCCCCCACCCCATCAAATAACCCCCAGTCACTTACCCCCTCCACCATGACCATAAAACTTAATTCATTTAGTATGACATTTTTCCCATAAAATATAAAAACTTATATTAAGTAATGTTTGCAATTCTCCAAGAATAGATTTTGTACTTTTTTTTTTGGTTGTTACATCCAAAACCGCTTATGTCAACATCTGGCATGCGTACTGTACTGAAACAACCACAATTAATTGAATGATGGCTAATCCATCCGTTGTTTATCTTACATGTACCGAAAATGCGCTATAAATAAAGGTTATACTCAAGCCTCATCAACATACTTCAATGAAGCCTCCTCTACGTTCAGTAAAAGCACTGGCAATTGATTGACAAATAGATAATGCCATTTTTGTTATAACTAACCATGCTTGGAAATAGGTGCGAATTTTTGTTCACAGCTCAAATGTGGCGTCAAGCTACCCTTAAGATCAATGTGTGTGTGTGTGTGTGTGTGTGTGTGTGTGTGTTTGTGTGTGTGAGAGAGAGAGTGAGAGAGAGAGAGAGGGAGTCAGAAAGGTATATATTTTACATTTAATAATGCATTTAAGATCTGTGTGTGTGTGTGTGTGTGTGTGTGAGAGAGAGAGAGAGAGAGAGAGAGAGAGAGAGAGAGAGAGAGAGAGAGAGAGAGAAATTAGGAAAGATCCATGTGTGGGGAGGTGAGAGAGAGAGGGGGAGGTAGGGAGGTCAGAAAATATATATTTTACATTTAATAATGCATTTAAGATCCATGTGTGTGTTGTGTGTGTGTGTGTGTGTGTGTGAGAGAGAGAGAGAGAGAGAGAGAGAGAGAGAGTTAGGAAAGTAAATTTTTTACATTTAATAATGCATTTATTTCAGGTGAGAACAGTTATACCTGTGCACTAATGGTGATGCGGGATGCGAGTATACATTAAAGCTAAATGTTACTATATATAAATAAATTTGTATAAAGATTATGGGGGATGACTTGGGGTAAGTCCTATCTGATGGGGGGGGAGTCCAAGGGGAGGGATGTCTGGAGGGATGTTGAAAGGAGTCAGGGAAGGATGTTTGAGGAAAGATGTCCTGATACCAATAAAACAACATTCATTGTCAAATTCCGGGCTTGATATATTTGCTAACGTGTTCTGTTTAATGAGGTATACATCATAGCAAATCTAAGGGCAAATTGGGCTAAAGAGCTTGACGTTACGGATCGCTGCCCTCTCACCTCTGTATGCGTGGGTGATATTCAGCTAATGCGGGTATGTGAGAAAGCTTGCTAGCAGCTTCTTTTGAGTCAGTGGTTCTTTCTGAGGTTTTCCCTGGTTCTTCCTCCACCATATATACTGGCCGCCAAGTATAACCTATAGTAAACTAAAACATGGCGTTAAACCCTATAATAACTGCAAACGATTATACTAAAAGAAAACTTCGGTTCTTTGAGTTGCCGATCGCCGTAGCCAATTGCGGTGGAATAAGGTTTGGGGAGGTGGTGCCAAGACATATCAGCTTCTTGGTGTCTTGACACTTAATATTTAAAACAACTTGAAAGCTGTCATTAAACTGTCTTTTATATGCATGTAATTATTATTGCGATGTAAGTATTATACTGTGTTTATATATGGTTTATTCAAACGTTTGTAAAGACATTTCAACTTGAGAAGACCTCATGACGAGGCGGGACAAAGTTGGTCATTTTCATCTCCAGTTTAATTTGGCACCATCGAAATGATCTGTGAACTGGGTTGATCGTTATGTGAGGTTTTACTGTAATTTAATCACATCGAAAAAAAAAACACAAGGTGCGTCTCCACTAGGTGCTAAATCTAAACTACAGTATTAATGTTCTTTGAGCGGTGTCAGACCCTAACGCGATTCCGAATAAAAGTCATAAGTATGCCCAAAATTTCGAAAGACTTCTATACAACTTCACTTGTAAATTAGAATTCCCGACGTGTCCATTCTATACACAAAATTTTACTCTAATCAGTGCAAGACCATATCCCCCAACTTGCCAAATATCTATCAACCGTCCATCTGCATAGTTTCTCTTCATTGACTTTCCGTACCGTCAGCCGTTCACACCGTTGAAATTATCACCTAACACAGGGAACTATTTTAACAATGCAACCATAGGCCAGTCAATCCATGGTTTCAAGGCACATTACGCCAGTACAACTGCATAACATTTGCCACCCTGGTGACATAGACGGTATCTGACGAGTTCATTCTTGTTTATTCCACTGTGTAATTTACCGGTTTCCTCTCGTAAATACATTCTCTGCAGTCACAACGCCAATATACCCTACTAGATTTTAATAAGGACTATAGTCCAGGGACGCTTTTTGACCTGAATTCACTACAAGTGAATCATGTCATCATGGAAACTCATGAATGAACACTTTACTCTGTGACGCTCGCTTTTAGTAATTGGCTAATTATTTCGGGCTAAGGAAAATTTCTATTACACCGAATTCTAGTAATCAAACAAGTAATCACACAGATTTAAGTATTCCTTAAACGGAGCGATATAACCATATGCTCATCTACAAGTTTATTATGATACCTATTGCAATAGATTTTGGAGCGTTTGAATACGAATGACCTTTAACAGCCTTTACTCCTCAATGAAGCAAATATATTTTGCTTTGGATGAAAAGAAGTAATTATTCGAGCAATACTATATCATTAAGATGTACAAAAGAATTAGTATGGACAATAAGTATCAGTGCAACGTTGACAAAATTCTAACATATTATCTTAGAAGCTGAATGACCTTGAAATTTCCACTATGTGCAGATTTAAAAGTGTGTGTGTGTGTGTGTGTGTGTGTGTGTGTGTGTGTGTGTGTGTGTTATTTGGACTTTTAAAATAGCTTTTAAAAATTTCAGTCATATCGCAAAAATATCTGTTGTACCGCTCCGGTGGCTTAGTCGTTAGAACGTCCACTTCGTATGCGGGAGGTTGCGCGTTCAAACCCCGACCGAGTCAACCAAAAACTTTTATAAATGGTTACTCACAGATCCCTCGCACAAAAAGAAGTTAGTCTTTCTGGTGTCAGGATAATGTGACTGGATGACACCGCAGTGTTAGATATCGTTATAAACTGCCACACTGAAGACATTGTAGCACACTGCCACACTGGAGACATTGTAGCGATATGACTAAAATTTATTTAGAGCTAAGTTAAAAATCAAAATCACACACACAAACATACACACACAAATGTGCACGATCTCTGCAATGTGACAACGTATACTGATGTCTAGCACTGGGGAGTCACGCTGCTGACATGTATCGTGTCGTGTGTGTGCGTGTGTGTGTGTGTGTGTGTGTGTGATGTAGCTATAACAATTACACACACATGAAGTACAGTTTAATTGAATATCCATTTGGGAACCCTATGTTAAGGTCCCCCCCCCCCAAGCCGTAACCAGTCCACGATATAATAATTCACGAAAAATTCCAGAATAAACTTCTATTAATTATTTTTTCAGAAATTTTTTTTTTATAAGAAAGTCAACTTGTTGAGTGAACGTGAGTATAAATTATTGAATTCAAAAATCAGACTTTGAATATAAAAAAATCTTGGCAATTAGTTAAATACACCTTGTTCCTTCAAGGTTTTGAATGACTCTGTCTGAAAAAATATATTGATTGCGTATTTAGAATCTCAGACATCAATTTAAGTCTCGCGAGATTGGTCATGTGTTCTCTTACTGCGCTAATATTCACACGTAGGCCAAGGTCAATCCACTTAAAAACCAATTATAAAAAGGCTGTTTACAAACAGTGATCACGAAAAGAAAGTATGTCCGTGATACTGACCAATCATTGTAGCTTTCTGTTGTTATTGTTACAAGGGTAAGACGAACTAAATGTTCATTCTCACATTGTAGCTTTCTGTTGTTATTGTTACAAGGGTAAGACGAACTAAATGTTCATTCTCACTTACTAGATCTTCGTCTTGAATAAACAAACGTTGTTCTAAAAATATATCTCACTCCTAGAAATAGAATCCCGAATCCAAGAAAAATATTCATTGCAATTAAATGCAATGAAACAAAAATAAATAAAAATAATTTGAAACCTTACATACAAGCAATTTAATCATATATAAGTAACACTGTAAGTGCTTTAATTGTCTTTTCCCAACATCCTCATAGTTCTACTGCAAGTTATTTCGGAAATAATTCTTGATGTTTATAAAATGTGATTTATTTTGTGAATCGGAGTGGAATTTTTGTAATTTACAAGTATATATTTATGTCTGGACGACATTTAATTATACATTAATGATCTTGAATTCTTGTTAATTTCAAATTACAAGTAATATCTTCTGTCAAATATGTTCTAAATGACCGTTGTTTCTAAGACCTGACATTTAATTCATCAATACCGTTTTCACAAAATGACACCCAAACAATACATGAAACAGAGTCTCTTAGGCTTCCTTACGAAAAGTACATAACGATGATTCAGAGATTTTCACTTGTACCAGCTTTCTGCAAGGATAGAGAATAACATAGATAGCTTTGTTTTGTTCACTCGGATATCTGGTATCTTCAGTAGAATAAAAGGGAAGAAAACCTATCGATTGACAATCTTTGTTTGACTTATTCCGATTGTAGACAGAGTTCCATTTTGTTTAAAATTTATCTTGAATTCTTAATATTTTTCCTTATAGGTCGCGTATACATTTTTTTGTGAAATATTGTCCTGCTTCCTTATATTTTCATGAATTGGAAATTCTAATTTCCTAGTATATCAAATATTGGTTTTCCAAGTTCATAGTGTGGCGTCAAAAACTCTGTAAGATTCTTCAAAGGTATATTTATATTATATATTTGTATGATCCCGTTATATGCAAGGGATATTCATTTTTTTCTTAATTATATAATTATTAAGAAATAACATAGACGTTTATTATATTCTCATTTATCTTGATATATTTATTATACCTGGTGGCAGTGATTACATTTGTTCAGGAGGTATAGTGGATTAGTCATGAAATTCCAACCCTGCATAAAACTTGTCTTTCCAACATAAATTAAGTTCGGTGAGGCTTTATGGAGACCTACTTTTTTAAAAATAAAGTGTTTTTTTTTTAAACTGTCGTTTATGTCCGTAAGAAAAAAAAAGAGCGTGCACGATGAATGGTTGAGTGAATTACTTACTGTAGTCAGGGGGTACCAAATAGGTGATTTTGCAGGAACTACTAGTGCCATGGGAAGCTAGAATCAAATCTAGAGTCACATCTGGAGTCTAGAATTACGTTCTAGCTTCAGTAGCATCTTAACCGGTCATTTTGTATGATACATGGCGTACGTGTAATAAATAAAACTCCGACCTGTATCAGTTCAAAAGGGGCACATGTAAAAAAAATCGATTTTTCAAAGGAAGCTAATTGTAGCATGTTTTAGGCTAGTGAAATCAATGACACTTTATTTGGAGGAAAATGTTATGAACATTTCTGATTGATCAGGTAAACTTAAGGCGTACATTTTGAGAAACAATTTAGGGGCTATCTCTTGCGAAAATTCTTTAGTCAGATTTATCTTGAAAGAACTTATATTGACTCAGGAGATGCTAGTAAGTAGTGCTCTTCTTGGACCACTAAGAATGAGCCAGACGGTTGTCTTAGAAAAAGAAGACAGCCTAGGCTATGGCACAATTTGTTTTGGAAAGAAAAGGCAGTAAGGTGCGCAATTTTAGTTTTCCAAATTAATATTCTATTTCGTTTGTTTCGTTGTTTGCAAATGTGTTGATATGTTATGATTCCCGCATGTATCGTGTATTCATTTCATATGACTATTTATTTGTTATTTTTGCCATTTAATTCTTACGTTTTTCAATTATCAATTCGTTGAGAGAAGTGACGGATTGCATGTAATTAAATATTCGATGTGTAGATTTGCGTAGGGATTTCATGAATTTACCCTAATATATGTATGTGTCATATTTATTAGGATATATGAACTGATTCTCTGTGTAGGATGATATTTGCTCTTGCGAGTTAATGACGACTGTGCATATATATATATATATATATATATATATATATATATATATATATATATATATATATATATATATATATATATATATATATATATATATATATATAAGTTCGCAATATTTAATTGATCACGCAAATTACTTAGCACAGCTAAATTTGATGGATATTATGCCGTAAGTAATTGAGCATTAAACTGTATTGAATAGCCAAATGTAATTAAGTCGTGTTGTAATGTATGCTGGCATGTACGGGCACATTTTTCTGTAGAAAGTACGTGGAAATTTATGATGACTTGCCCGCGGGGTGAATTAACTTCGATCTAATTTGCATTAATCTAACGGTATCATACCCCAAACACAAACTCTCTGATGAGTTATTGGTTAAAATCACGTTAGGTCAGAATTGTGCAGTGTAAACCACCTAAATCTGAGCACGAGAAACGCACGCGCGCGCGTGTGTGTAGATAAGTAGTGGAATTTGTCTAGCGTGAGACATACTATATATTTAAGAGGACATCTTCGTAATCAGCGCGAGAGAAAGGCGAAGGTGGAATAAGGAAGGAATCTGATGCTAATAGAGGAAAATCTACCACTACGGAAGGTCAGAATAGTCGAGGGTTGAAGAGAACCAAGCATGTGGCTTAGACGTGGGGAAACAAGTCGTGAGAAGACAGTTGACAGGTGATGCTGTCAAAATCTTTACTTGTTAAAATGATAAAAATCGTACAATGTAATTAAATTCTGTCATTGACAATCAGTCGAAATGGAAAGTGAATTTTGGCTATGCTTTAATTGAGTATATATAATTTAGTAAATCTGCTTGATGTGAATTGATTTTTCTTTTGATTATATGTTAATTGATTAAAATTTTATATTTTTTTTATTGAAAGAAGGTTCGTTGTTATTTCTTTCTTTCAATACTTTGCTCAGCTATCCCATCTATCCGTCCACACTGGGAGGTAGGAGGTCATTCCCTAGCTGAATAAAAAGAGGAGGATTTTAATGTTTAAATCCCTCCTTACAAGAAGCTATGTAGAATGTATAAACAGTTTTGAGAGAAAAGTCATTATCAGTCGTATAGACTTATCAGATATTCAGAAATGTTAATATTTATACCATTGGATGTTGTTAGAGTAGCGCTTAATAACGCTAGAACCATTATGAGTAGATATGGGGAAAGGGTGTCACCCTGTCTGACCCTATGCTGCATAAGCAAACAAATAGAACAGTGCCCATTGTTTCACACACACACACACACACACACACACACACACATAAATATATATATATATATATATATATATATATATATATATATATATATATATATATATATATATATATATATATATATATATATATATATATAACTATATATATATATATATATATATATATATATATATACATATATATATACATATATATATATATATATATATATATATATATATATATATATATATATATATATATATATATATATATATAAATTCCAAAATAAAAGATTCGATGCCATTTAAAAATAGACCGACCAAAATAGAAAAATTTGAAAGGCTCTTCTGTCAACAATCCTCAATTTAAATCTAAACAAGAGCTAACAATGCTGGGATGCCTTCTTCTGCTTTCGTCGATTGAGTAAAACTTAGACGTGCACGCTGACCAACATATTGACTCTTCAAAAATATCACCGTTCTTTATTCTGCGAGTAAACGATGATGACAATTGTTAGTTCAATATTATAGATGAAGATAGAGCGCCATTGTGTAAATAAAATCAGATTTTGCTTCTTTAGGGATACATGTGATATTTTATTGCTTTTATATAACTGATAAGAATTCAGTGTCATCCTTTAGGATTGAATGGACCAAGCTTGGTATGCAAAAGTCAATATTAAGGCACGTGTAATAATCAATTTAAACAAAAATCAATATTAGGGCACGTGTAATATTTTTTTTTTCTATTAGCTATAT